GATATACCCCATCAAAAACGGAACAGTCGCCACGTTCGAACGAAGTTCACAGTCCACGCCTCCCCATCTCCCGGACATGAGTGTGTAGTTGCTTGCGGCCGCGGCATACTAGCATTTTGTCAAATTTAAGGGGTTTTTCTAGTTTTCCAGTTTTCCGGGGGTAAACTTAGAAGTTACATTTGTCGGACGTTTCTAAAGAGGGAAAGGATGGAAATTTATCGAAGGAAAATATTTTTGACATGTAAACCAATGAAATCAAATAAACTGTAATTGAGGATCTTAAGGTCGTGTTGCTTGGAAGGACCTCATCGAGCCATCGATAAAACTTTGTCGCAATGGCGTTCCTGTGTCGGAGTACTTGGACAATGTCATGAGAGTCAAAGAACGGCATTTCCGACTGTTTCCTAGTATGAAGTTAGTCAACAGTTCTAGTTTCTGTCTCACTACTTTGACCAGAAATATTCATCCAACTGACGAGTTGTAGTCGTCGGAAGAAATTGCTGAATCCTTTAGTAAAAACGCTCACCTTCTAGTTGCTTGCCTCTCGAAGTGATCAGAGACTTTCGATTACCGTTTCTGTCAACTATCATACTTATTCCACGCATTACAGTAACTTTTATGGGAAGGTTCCCGACTCGACTCCGTTCTTCTGGGAATCAACTTGAGTGTTAATTCTTAGTTGTTTATTTCTTGAGTTCCGCTGAAAAGCGGATGGCAACGGGGCTGGAGGGAAGTGATAGCCATGACTCCAGCCACCTGCTGCAAACCAGCGGACGCAACACGCCGCACGACGAGGGCTGCGTATAACGCCAGCCAGGCGTACTATTTGTCTGCGCCTCTTACGTTTCGTTGTTACCTACATTTGGCCACGCTATGCATGTTGCCACTCGTATTGCTCGCTGTAGGACCTCGGCATCGACATACATGCCGGACGCCGTACAGTAGCTAGCTCGTGGAGTCCAGAAAAGCACTGGGGATTATTATCCTCAGGCGGCGTTCCCATACTTTTCGAGCGGAAAAAATGGAATGTTACTGCGGCTGAGGACCCATTCACTTAGCTTTTCGTATGGTGAGCATTCAGCTAGTAGGTAATCATTTTTGTCTTCAAAGATGCAGTCATAAATCTCATAAAAGCATTTTAGTTTAACGATTTACCGATTACCTTGGAAACTTCAGGGCATGGATCAACCCTCTTACTAACTCCACCTATAAGATGGGCGATCTCCTTCCTCGACTAAAACTTGCTAACACGTTGGAGAAACTCGCCAATTCAAAGGACCCTGTCAAGCTGTTCTATCGAGGTGAAATGGCTGAAACCATCGCGAGAGAGATGGCCGAGGGAGGTGAAGCGATGTTCGGAACCCTCTGCTTTACATTTATGTATTTTGCTTTTTTAAAATTCCATACATTTCTGAATTAGAATGAGGATCAAAATTCGTACAACTTTGTAGCTTGACTCTAGAAGTTTTTACTACTGATTTTTCAAACCACCGGATACGTGAGCAGCTGCCCAGTCGGATCCGGACTTATAAGTGCAGAAGTAAGGACGCCGACTTGTTATGGTCCTTTCTATGACAAGAGCGCGTGTAGACAGAAACTAAACTTTTTCAACTTTCCTTCTTGAAAGAAATTCCTTGATAGTGTGTTCCCTTAATATTCAGTGAAGTTGAAAGTCAGCAAGGGCATCCGACCGAAATAAACCAAGGTGGCGAGTGGGCTTCCTGTGGGATATTGTCCTAGCACATGACAAAATGACTTGCTAGAAATGTAAAGAAAAAGCCATCACT